ATTAATTAAAAATTAAAAAAGAAAGAAAGAAGCCACACTCACCAGAGAGGGTTCTAAGTCAATGAGTGATACCTTTTTTTTGTTGTTTCCTAAGATGGCATTTTACTGTGTTGCCCAAACTAACCTCAAATTCACAAGCCTCCCAAGTAGCTGGGATTACAGAGCTATCCCACCACACCAAGGAACTGATGTCCTTAAAAATGGGAACTCTGATACCAACACATACAGATAGATGAGGGCCACAGGAAAGTGGAGGAGTGATCAATGTGCCACTGCCACAAGCTCAGGCGCACCAAGGAGGCTGGTATCCAGAAGCAAAGAGAGAAAGGACCCATCCCAAATAAATGTGGATCACCTCAGGTGTTCTGTTATAATAGCAAAAGGCTGACCAACACAAAGTCTATGGCTCCTGGCTTGTAAGGTTGACATGGCTACTCAGGTAGACTCTGAGTGGCAAGGTCAAATCTCTGTACTTCTTCTCACCATTTTTGTTTTCCTTTCACTTGCCTGTTCATATTGTTAATTTTACGTAGGGTTGTTTGACTCTGTTGTAGATGGGTTAGAGTTCTTTCTTCCTCTGACCTGGTGTGGTGATCCTGTGTTACAGTCTCTGCATTCCTGTTTGTATTTTAGCCTTTATGAATTCTTCTTTTCTCAGAGAGCACTGGACTTCTGAAGCAGGAGAGAATAAATTTGTTGTATTGAGCTACACTGCTGGTGGCAGCCCTAACTGCCTGTCACTCCTAACCAGGTCAGTATCTCTCAGTCCTAGGAAAGGCTGGATGGTGTGAAGACTATAGTTTAAAACATTTGGGTTCTTTTTCTGCCTCTCCTTTTTTTTCCTGTTCTACAAACAGAGGCAAATCTTAATGCCTATTACATTTCCTGTAAAATCAGGGAATCTGATCAGAACATCTAAATTTGTGTTCTCCATTCCCAAGCAGTAAAGTGTGCCTGGACACATAACCAAACCTACCTCCACCCCACTCTACACAGAGGCTGTTTCTGTTAAGTTTACCTTTAGACTGGTTGACATTCCCTTAACTACAATGAGGACAAACTAGATGCTAAGATACAAAAAACAAGAGACCCTAAATGTAATTTTATCACATTACCAGGACAAAGGGGGGGAAAAATCCTTTAAAACAGCAACCATTCTCTGCACTGCTGTATTTATGTTCCAGTCACTGCTACATTAACTTAATATGAACTCAGGGCCTCAGATCAGTACCCACTGATGACCTCAGTCCCCGTGTGTCAGAAGTGTGTGCACAGAGTGGACCAGCAGGTTCTCTGCTTATAAGACCCAAAACCAAAACAAGTCATTGGCAGGACTGAAGCCTAAGTTCACTCCTGTTGTTGACACAGCTCTATTCCACGTGGCTGAAGGACTGAGGCTCCTGGTTCAGGACTGGCGGCTACCTGAGGTCATACTCAGCCTCTTGGGGATACTTTATTTTGTCAGCCTACTGCCCTCCTCCTCCTCTTCAAAGCAGCCACTACAAATGGAGTTCTTCTCATACTTGGAGCCTCTCCAATCTCTTGGCTTGCTCTTAGGCCTCCTGTGATTACTGGGTCCTCTCAGGTAACCCAGGATCACTTCACTCACTTAAATTCAGTGGTGAGTAATCTTAACTACATCTCCGATGTACCACCTCAGCAATGTTCAGAGTGTGAACAATCAGCACAGGGACCTCAGACATCTGCCATAGGAATTCCAACATTTCATGCATTAACAATAAAAACACACACACAACACACTTCTGAGATACAGTTTCAGAAAACAATGGTTACTTAAGTTTATTTACTTAAGCTTATTACTGTGGTTGAAATAACAGATGAAGCTTTGTAAAAGGGGAAAAAAAACAACTTCACCAATCCAAGACTAGACTGAACTGAACAGCAGCCTGAATTCATTCCCGTATGCTGGAGCTTAGTTGTTTCCTTCTCTATAAAAATTAAAAAATAACACCACACCTGCTCACAATGTAGAAACAGGGCTAAAAAAGTAAAAGAAACAACAGACTGTGGTCACACATCTGAGCTCTCTCAACCAGGAGACAGAGGTAACAGAGCCCTCACAATCAACCTGCTGTTCAGTGTCCATCTCCCCCATCCAGCTGTCCCCTGAAAATTTCTCTTAAATGTACATAAGTAGTAGGGTGCGGTGGCAGCTATATTTGCTGCTTGTGTTCCCAGTACTCAGGAGACTCAGGAAGAATCATGAGTTCAAAGCTAGCATGGGCCATGTATACACTGTGAAACTCTGTCTCAAAAAAAAAAAGCAAAACAAAGCTGGTTATGTATGTTTCTGAAAGGACTCTGGGTGGCAAGCATTATCTGAACATTTAATGAGTGTGCACTTGCAACACCCGTTTGAAGCCAAACAACTCTCACAGTGCAGGGCCACCAACAGTTGAGGATTCAGGCTGTGAGTGCACTTACTACTTTTATTACGTTCATTGTTTAGCTCATTTTCAACTCTGTCCCCAAACATCTTAGACCTAATTACAACAATCGCAGCAAACTGCCTAGCTGCATCTGGCTGAGCATTGCACCTCCAGCACAAACTGCGATGGGGGCGAAGCGGGGAAGGAGCTGCGACTGCTGGAGTAAGAGCATGGCAGGGACATCGTCCAACCCCGGGTCATGTTAGGTGCTGTCTGGTCCGCAACCGCGGGCCAGAATCCCGCACATTCTGTTCTCTGCGGAAACGTACGGCCACTATTCCCAGAGCTTTCAGCCACCACCCACCCCTCCCCCCCAAAGGGGGGCGGTCCCCAGATCCTACGTCCCATCTCCGGGTCGAGCCCGTCGCGGGGTCCCCATAGCTGTCGAGGGAGGTGACAGGGCAAGTACCCAGCCCACTCCTCCGCAGGGCGGAAACCAAAGCCGCGCTGCGATTGGCCCCCGCGCGACCCTGACTCAGGGCCAGGTGATTCTTGGTCCCCTGGCCTAGCCCGCGTCCGCTCTGCTGCTAAGGAGCCCAGGGGAGCCGGTGAGGAAAAACAGACCCCAAAGGCGCCCACAAGCAGCATTGGAACACTGGATCCTGTCTGAAGACTGGCGAGGAGGAGTGTGCAGCGTGACACAGGACTCTGGCGCCGCCCGGAGAGGGATGACAGGAAATGGCGCGCGCGCCCGGGGCCCCTGACTCACGTTTGTACTCTGCCATCAGCCTCTTCAGCGCCGTGCCCGCCATGTCCCGCTCAGCTGCGCTCGGCAGCCTCACCTCATCCAAGCCCGTCGCGCCAGCCCCGACGCCCGGGGCTACTTCCGGGTTGCCGCCGCGAGCGAGAAGCGCTTCCGGGGCGCGGCGCAGCGCGCAGGCGCGGTCCACGTGGCGCGCTGGAAGGGCGTACGTGGTGGCGAGCTGAGGTCCACACAGACCAGGTCACCCGGCTTCTGGGTACCCCCTACGTATACGCCGCTTCCCACTCGTTACTCTGGAGTTTGCGGGCACGCTAGTCACTGTGTCTCGTCTGCCTCCTCTGGCCAGAAATCTGGTCTACAGGGAAGCCTACAGTTCTTTCCCCAGTTCTGGTGCCAGCGGAGAGGACCGCCCGACTTTCCAGCCCTGAGAAACGGTGTGCAACAAGACCACCGACACAGATGAGCGCGCGTCTGATGCCTCCTGTCGTCTCCACTACACCGCTCTCTCCAGGCGTGCTTATAGAACACAGTATCCTCAACTTATTTTCACAAATGTGATTTACACTTTTTATGAGGATGAGTTCCAGGCTCGACTAACCAAAAAAAGACGACAAAAAAAAAAAAAAGCAAAACGTGTTGTGAAAGCTAGATGCAAGCTTCTCACCTCAGTGTAACGGGTCAAAGGTCTGATTTTTCAGAGCGGAAACGTACGGCCAGGGCTTCCCTAACTTCCTCCTCAGCACCATCAGTTATTTGCAATTCAGCTTTAACTGGGCGCACCTGGCAACTCTCCACATGGCCCACAAGGACTCTGAACAGTAGGTATGTAACAGTAGTTTCCTAAGCGAAGACACTGAGAAGGCTGGTTCTGAGTCCAGGATGTCAGGATGTCCCAGCTATGTAGGGTTAATAGAGTTTTGTGCCTTAATTGTAAAAAATTATAAAAACCCCTTGTGCTTCCTGTTATCTGCTCTAAGAAATGTTTTCTCCCTTTCGGCTCAAGGCTGTTCAACAATAAATGTTTCTTGTCAAGGCAGCAAGCTAACACAAACTCCCTCCCCAGCCATCCTCTATAAGTCAGCTTAAGATATATCTTATAAAAATATACACTTATCACTAAGCTGTAAAAGACCTTTTAGTTATAAACAGTTGCAGCTGTGTCAGATGAATGCAGTTTCTGTTGTTCTGTACTAGATAACAAGTTTGCTTACCAAACTGGATGTGATTTCTGTTATAAATACCCCCTTGCTACCTACATTCGGGGCCGATCAGCCTTCTGCGAGAGAAGTGACTGATGGACCTGAGCTCAGTAAATAAAAGCTCTATTCAAATTTTTATCTGGCTGATCTGGTTCCTATGCAGAGTTGACCCATAACACCAGCTAACCACGACTCTGTAACAGCCCCAGAACAGTAGATTCACCTCAGCTCATGCATAGCACAGCTGAGGGCAGCTCATGCACAGCGCTGCTGAGGGCAGCTGGGGGCAGCTGAGGATGGCTGGCACACTGAAACTGTGGGGGCTCCTGAACATGGAACCTCAGTGCTAAAATTGAAGGTTCCAGGTGGGACCCTGCATACACATACAGGAATATGTAGGGTCTATCATTCCCAGAAGCATCCACTGAATCCTGATTCTAAGTTCATGTGATTTAATGCTTTTAAAAACTAGGGGCTGGAATGTAGGTCAGTATTAGAGAATGCACAAGGCCCAGGGCTCCAGCCCCAGCGCTGAAGAAAAATGAAAATGTCTGCCCATACCAGCAAGTCTCTTATTCCAAATGCACAATTCAGGTACATTTCTAAGATGAAGTACTGGAGGACACATGCTGCCCTTTCTACTAACATTGGGGAACAGAAGGAAGCTGGAGCAGTGCTGCTATAACATAGCCAAGTAACCTCTTGGACTGCAGTCTTACCTAACTGAAAGCCCCTGAGATGCAACCCTCTCTTTATGGGCTCTTCTGGATTCAACAGCTCCTTTCCATGTTACATGGAGGATGTAGCTGTGCCTTGAACTCACATTTTCCTGCTGAATAACCCAGGGCACCGTGTTCCTCCTGTCCTTCACCTTTCACCCTGTGCTCAAACTGATCAAAACAGCTTGGTCATTGTTGAAAGTCTGGTTTTATATCTTACCAGCAGAACTGAGATTTTCAAAGTCAAGTTAGTATCAGTTCATTTTCAAACTGACATGAGTAGGCTGTCAGAGTCAGAGAGGAAAATAGAGTAATCATACAGGAGAAATCTTAAAATCCCCTAAACCGGATGTGGTGGGACATGCCTGTAATCTCAGCACTCAGGAGGCTGTGAAGGAGGATTTCAGTGAGTTTGAGGCCAGCCTGGGCTACAAAGTGAGTTCAAGGCTAACCTAAAAAAAGACCAATAAATAAATAAATAAATAAATAAAACCTAAAAGCTAGATTAATATCCAGACCTCCCCTGCCTTAACCCCACTGAGCCCAGGAAGAGAGCAAAATGAGTGTCATCATAAGCTGGACAGTTCACCTGGCCAGCAGAGAAAATATGGCCCAGCCTGACCAATGTGCCAGAGGAGGCAGCAGGCCATGAGGGCAAACAAATTTCTAACATCTAAGTCCATTCTTGAGAAGCCTCCTGGATGGTCAGTGTGTGTACTGGGCTCTAATATATGTCCCAGTGTCAAAGGCACTGTTTAATATGAGCCAAGAGACAGAATACCAAACTATATTTACTGTTTACAGTAGTAAAGGACAACAAATAATGTACAAATTGGTGAATAAACACAATAGAACCAACAAACATCCCACCCCAAGCCCATACAGCAAAACAAAGGAAAGAACACTTTGCAGGATTTCAAGCAAGCAAGAGATGGCAGATCTTTGTCAGGTGACTATGAAAGTCAGAGAATGGCTGTCAAGCAGCAATGGATCCTTAGAGAAGGACAATAGGCAGAACCATGAACATTTTAACTGGCATAGCGCCCAAGATATGTCACAGAACTGGAGTCACCATACCAATGCATGACATCAAGCAGCGGAGCACAAATCCATGAGAACACAAAGTCACCTTTCCATGGGTGTCTTTTGTAACCACATTTTGAAGTAGCTCTTTTATACAATAATGTAACTGCAAATTCAGGAAACTCAATTTTTTTTAATAAGGAGACCATAATCATTCATTAGACGCAAATACTAGAAGTCTGAGGTCACAATACAATTACCAAATGAGAAATGTGGTACTTTATTCTACGTTATGAAAAGGGGAAAAACTAGTTTTTGTTGTGCCAATCTTTGCCCTTGTATCCTTCACCAGGTACTGACCAGAGGGATAGTGTCTTGAGCTTTAGGCCCCAGAGGACACAATTAGGAGCAGAGAGGCCCTGAGGCAACATTACTGAATGACTCACTACATGTTTTTTACCTTTCAAGACCCAGTCCAGTTTTTCCCTTTCAATTTTACCACATCCTTGACAAAGCCTAAATTTGCAATATTTAGCATTGTAGTAACCTGTGCCTAAACAGAAAGTTAAACTCTGCCCCCTTGTCTCAAATCCTGCCCCTTTGTCCCACTGCCACAGTCACTGGAGAATGCAAGCTGCCTACATGATTATGGCAAGCAGCTCAGGAGCAATCTCAACTCTGGGCTGAGAACCTGGCCACAGATGGAGCCAACATTTGACAAGTCTTGGGGAAAAATGCTTGGGGAGGGAGAAAAAAAGCAAAATGAAAAAAACCCCTCACAACTTGTTTTATCTAATCAAAAAACGATCTGGCCCAATTTAAGCTGTAGATGTCTCTGTAGATGCAGTACTGCGTTGCACTGGAAGTGCACCTGACAGAGAACGGTTGTTTGGTGACTGTCCTCAGCTCCCACAGACTCCTGTGATCAGCTTGGTCATTCGCTCACCATTCCACAGCGAGTGCAGGGTGCAGAACGGTCCCTCTGGAGGCTGCACCTCCCGTTTGCTGCTGGAACACATCAATGGTGTCTTCGTCTTCCATCTCCAGCTGTCGTCACAGTGGTCAGGCCCAGTGAGAGGGAACAGGAGATGGCAGAAGAAAAAATAACACAGTGTTCCTAATCTGCTACCCCACACTAGATGCAGCCTGCCCACCCTTCGTTATGCATCATGGGGGAAAAGAAATGCCACTGTGGAGTCACAACTACTTACCCACTATCAACCCAACCACTTTCCCCTAACAAGACTTAGGAAAGAATGTTCACAGCCAAGAATTTTAACTGTCAGAAAAAGTCATTAAAATTAAACAGATGTCTAAAATTCACACAAAGTGACATACAGACTCAGATCACAGTGAAGCACCTCCAGTTTGTAGCCTACAGAAGCCATGTGCTTTACAGCAAGTGCAGTGTAGGTCATAAAGTAAAGGATCACAAAGATGGACTCACTGCTGGCTCTTCCCTGCCTTCAGTACCAGGGCAGAGGCCAGCAAATCTCTTCTAACATCAAGCACAAAAACATCCCCTGGCCTTTTCCCACTCTGAACACAAGAGACACTCTACAGTTCCCACGGAGAATGGTCCCAGCGGGAGCAGGAGTACTACAGCCTACTCAGAAGTCCTTCTGCCTCTGCTGCAAACACTAGACACTCCCAGGAGCCAACAGCTGAGACAGCAAACCTCTCTCCAGGTAGCTACCTGCCCTTCCAGGCTTTTCTCACCCTGTCTAGCCCTCCTTGAGTGTTCTCAGCCCACCACTCAATCTAGCAGGGATGAATCTCAAACGTAGCTAGAAATTAGGTATTTCAAAATTATTGCCACTTAATTCCACCTGTAATTCCAACACTCAAGAGGCTAAGGTAGGAAGATCAAGGCCTGGCAACTTTGCAGCTTTTTAGCTGGGGCTATAAAGTGAGTTCAAATCCAGCCTGTTCTGCAGAGTGAAACTGCCTCAAAAACAAAATATTTTCAGTATTTGACATTTAACGTTCTGCAAAAATAATTTCACATAAAACATTCCAATTCCAAACAAGCTATCTCCATTTTACAGACAAAACTAGGACTCCAAGCGATTAAGTGATTGAGATCACAAGGCCACCAGTTAACAGCAAGAGCTGCCACCTGAACTTAAGTCTGAAGCATGTTTAGCTCCGAGCCTGAAGCTCTGCACCACAAAGCGATATTCCATTTGGTGGATGCAGGCATAAGATAAACTGTGCTCAAGGTGACAATGAGGCGTGACAGCTCCTCCTTTCCACCTATAAAAAAAAAGTGCTTATAGGGTGCAAAAATTGAACCTAAGGCCCCGCTATAAGTTGATTAAAGTAGGGAGCCGGGGAAATGGCTCAGTAGAATAAGCACTTCCCTGGCAAGCACAAGGGTCTGAGTTCAATCCCCAGTTCTGCCAAAAAAAAAATTGATTATAGTTGCAAACTAAGAGTGGTAACTAAGAATCCTAGACAACTAGTGTGAAGGAACTTCTCTCCTACCTCTCCTGGTTGATTCCAGGTCAGTCCTCAGCAAATGACCCAGGGCCCCTAGGTGCACAAGTTCCTGAGTCTGGGTGTCTATCTCCAAACAGCAAGTGTGACATGTGATGGAACTATGATCTAATCTCAAAGTACCAAAATTTTAAAATCTGATAACTAATAAGTATTAAGAAAATGTAAGGGGCCGGTGAGATGGCTCAGTGGTCTAAAGCATCTACTTAGAACAAGCTTAGCAAAGCCCAGGGACCACGGTTCAATCCCCCAGCACCACATGCCAGCCAGCCCGCCCCCTGGTGGGCTGAGCTGCCCCCCCACACACAAATAAATAAAATTTTAAAAAAAGTAAGATATAAATGTTGCATGGTTATAAGCAGTGCATGGTTTCCTCTTATATGAGAAGCCCAAAATATAAATGATGAACAAAATAAAATTCAAAAATAGGAAAAAGGGAGATAGATCTTCTATAAATGGGAAGGGGACCAAGAGATGAAGAAAGGGGGAAGAGATAGCAGAGGAAGGGATGAAAACAAAAAATTAGTATGTGTTACATGCCTATGTTCCAAACCCCCATTAGCAATGTGATCACTGTGTACTAAAAACATGGTCTGATAATAAAAACAATAAAAAAACCTGTAAACATATTCTTAAAATTAAAACAAGGCATTGTCTGTGTGCACCTATTAATAATGACCAAGTCTATCCCATGTGACAACTCTGGATACCCACTGGGGCCAGCCCTGGACACAGAACCAGCTACATACCTGTGCTGGAGTGTCTGTTTCATTAATGGGTTGCCCATCAAACCTGAATCTAATCTGTCTCATTGACAAGCCCTGGAAAGAAAACAAAAATTACTGTTTAATCTTCACAGCTGAATTAAAAAAAAAAAAAAAAAATCAAGTAAAATACCAGAATTCAGAATATACACACATATGATCCAGGTGAACACAAATACTTACCGTGGCCCACAGCTTGTTTCAAGGATCTCAGAAGCTGCCTTCCTGACATTGCACTCCCTTGTCCTGCCTGCCCTGACTCCCTTTCCTCCCACAAGCCAGCAGGACTTTCATATGGCTGGCACCACCCATTCTCCTCAGAAAGTGCCTTAAGAAAATCAGGTAAGGTGATAGCAAGGGATGAGGGATGAGGTAAAGGAAGCAACAGAATGGCAGCAGGAGGGAGGGGCACTGTCCATCCAAAAGGAGGGCAAAGCCCACCTCATCCAAAGAGTAGGTGAACATGGCTGGGCAGAGACACCCATTTTATCAAGCAGGATTAAAACAGCATCTCTGTGCCCTCTAGAAACTATCTGGAAGTGGGGCTGGGGAGATGGCTCAGTAGAATAAGTGACATAAATGAAAACACAAACCCCAGGGACAGAGCCAACCAAAGGGAGGGGCCAGCAGATAGAGGTTATGTTCCAGGCACTGGACCTGGAATGTGCAGTGTGGGGTCCAACAGCTGCAGTCCAAGGTAGAGGGACCAAGAGCATCTGGACCAGAGAGGCAGGGACAGAAGATGCTCGCGTCAGAGTTCACAACCACACCCTCAAACCAGCCAGCACCACCCCAACTCCAGGCAACTGTCCCTTGATGGTAGCAAATGAGACATCTACTTCCTGGAGCTCCAGGCTCAGGACACACCAAGGATAAGTGGCCAACCTGAGCATAGAAAAAAGCCAGCCTCCAGCCCCAATCCCTTCAGCCCTCCAGCTCACTTCTGGAAACCTGGTGGATCATGGAAGCGCGAGTTCCCAGATCAGTGTCTGGGCTCTCCTGACAAGGCCACCAATCCTGGCCAGGCAGCCCCTGCCAACACATCTACCCACACACATAGGGCACCATTCTCAAAAACAAGGAACCAAGAACATTCAGGTTCTTGAGATCACACCAGAAAAGGAGGAAAGGGAAGGAGACGGAAAGGAAAGAAACAAGACAGTGAAAATACACACACTTGCACATGAACAGAAGCACACGTACACTCAGATCTCTCAGGGTGGTAAAATGAAAACAAGGGTAAGTTGCCTCTGGGAAAGAAAGAAAACTAAAAAGAATATGAGAAAAAAACTTTTGTAAACTAAAAATCCCCACAGAAGTAAGAATGGCCAGCAAGATGTGGTAACACATACCCATAATCCCAGTACTCCAGAGGCTGAAGCAGGATTGCTCTAAATTCCAGGCCAACTCAGACTACACAATGAATCCAAGGCCAGCCTGAACTACACAGCAAGACCCTGCCTCAAAAATAAATAAATAAATAAATAAATAAGGAAAAACTCCCAGAAAGGAGCTTAACAGCAAAAATAAAACCTGATGGAAAACAGGGAAAAATTATCAAAGGTAAAAAGCTGACTGCATCTGGAGGAGGACTGGAAATTCCAAAAAGAGAGAAATAAAAACTACAGAAGGACACAGGTTGTCAAAAAATCTCATACACTTTTCCTAAACTGAAAGTAAGTTTCAAGATAGAAGGAACCCACAAAGCACCCCAGAGACGAGCACCTGGTACGGAACCTCAGCTGGCCAGTGCCAGGAGACGGCCCTCAGGCTTTCTGAGAAAATGCAAGTGACACACAAAGGACAGAAAATCAGAATGTCACCAGGCATGTTGGCACATGCCTGTAAGCTCAGCACTCAGGAAGCTGAGTCAGGAGGCTGAAGACAGTAGGAGTCAGCCCAGCAAGGGCAGTTTAGTGACTTAGCAAGACCATGTCTCAAAAAATAAAAGGGCTAGGAATTTGGCTCAGTAGAAAAGCCATGGCTTTTAATCTCAGTATTAAAAAGAAAATTGCACACGCGTGCACACACACACACACATACACACACACACACACACACACACACACAAAACCACAATAACTTCCACAGGAGAAAATGGAATGCAACTCGAGAGGCTACATATAGCCAAATATCCAGGAGCGAAGGTCATTTTCAACTGTCCTCTTTCTGACGAGATCTTAGGCTATGCCACAAGGAAGGTCAGGACTGATCCCAAGGATGCAGGAGGAAGGCTCCCAGAGGGACCACGGGAAGCAGAGATGTCCAGTAGGTGGCATCATTTGCCCCCCCCCATGAGTCTCCAAGCAGGAGATAATAGAAATGGAGTGACCATTAGTGATGCACACCTGAAAACACAAAAAGCAACAAGCAGACCAACCCAAACAAAGGCAACAATGAGCCCAGCACTCTGGCTCCCTCCTAAGGACAGAGAGCACCACCTGCTGCTGCCACAGCCTGGAGGACAGACCTTTGTAACAGAGTGTTAATGTGGATGGAGGGGAATCCCTTGCCAAAGGGGGCTCCACACTGACACCAGTGACAATAAATCAGACAGATGGACCAAAGTAGAATGTGTGGGTCCCAGGAGCTCACAGGACACTGCCAGCACCAACCAGAAATTATTGATCTAACTGGTCCCTTGCTATTTTGAAATCCAGTTCATAGAGGGAAATGAGGCATTTTCTTCCCTTTGCTAGGCAGAGTAGAAAATCAAAGCATCAACATGGACACTGTCTCCAAAGGCATATTCCAAAAAATACTACAGAAGGAAAAAAAATATACCATTTGCCACTCCTGAGAAATCCACAGATCTAAGCAGAGACATGCCCCCTACACACACACACACACACACACACACACACACACACACATACACACACGAAAGTGCTGGGCAGGAGAAATAGCTCACTCAGTGGCACAAGCACCTTCCTGGTGAGCACAGGGTTGCAAGTTCGATTCCTGGTATCAAAAGAAAAAAAGCAGGGACCTCAATGGAAGGCAGCGTCAGGCCTAATGTGGTCCCTGAAGAGGAGCCCACCCAAGAGGGACATCCAGGGACAGGCCCAGAGCCTGGCTTCGCACCTGCCTCTCACAGTAGGCCTTCATCAGCTTACTCAATGGGGTATGCCTCTTGATCTTGAACTGCACCACTGAGCCATCCTGCCCCGCCACCTTTAGGTTGATGTGGTCATTCTCAGTCTTCACGCCTTCCTGCAACAGAAGGAAGCACAGCTTGTCAGCCACCAGCCTCACTGTGAGCCTCCAGGTTTATTAATGTCATTAGAACCAACCTAATTCTTAAAATTCTAAAGCAATTCTGAGTCACTCATGTGACTGTTTTATTTTTACACAGAATTTATTTTTAACTTCCACTCACTAAGCATCCACACATAGGAGACAGTGCAATGCTGGAGTCCTCCAGGTTAATGCCAACAAAAAAAAAAGCTCATTTGATACACTTAGAAGGAAATCCATCTGTTTTAAAATCATTCTCACACAGCTGGTAAAAAAAAAAAAAAAAAAAAAAAAAAAAAAGCCATCCATAGGTTACACGAACTACACAGCACTGATAAATACAGCAAAGCAGAACAGGGCCTGGGCAGCCAGCAGGAACACTGCAGCAGCCTGCATTGCGGACAATGGACACCCTGCTACTTGGGCATGGAAGGGAACAGAAGCCATCCTCTGTGAGTGTTGGGCTCAGCCTGTCTAGGGGCTAGGGTTGCAGGGCAACAATGACTCATACAAGTCCCACAGAGTAAAGCAGGCACAGGAGCCATTCCTACAATTTTACTTTCCTATAATTAACAACATACACAAGCTGATCAACAGCAGCTTACTCTAGGTTTTCTCTCACCTGGAAACACACTGTGAACTAATCAGAAAGTTTTTGTTCAGGGCACTGAGCCAGCACTGGGGCTGCTGAGCCTAAAAGGGGAGTGAGGTTGCAGAACCACTTTCTGTTTTCCAAGCCTGCCAGGCCAGCAAGAAATGCCACTTCACCACCTGGCACCTTCTAGAGGAGTCCAGTGAGCCATTTATTTTTAATGAAACAAGACACAGCCCCATGGCCTGAAGGATCAGGCCTAATGGCAAAGTAGTGTCTATGTGTCTGTCTACCCGTCTGACCCTGTTGACCAGGGAGTAATGCCCAGGAGCTAGGCACCTCTGGAGCTCCCTTCATTCCCTTTGTCCAATGCTCCCTCCTTGCCCAAGGAGGAGTTTCTGGGCACCTTCAGTTCTACTCCCTGCACATACCACACTGGGCCTAGAAAAGGGAAGGGGGTGAGCACATAAGGCTCATGCATGGCTGGGCTACAGGGTTGCCCACGTGGCTGGAGAAGTGGCCAGAGAGTAACAGTCTCCTTCAGAAAACACCCCTCCCCACTTGGAGATACCAGAAATACTTGGTTTTCCAACACCAGGAAAACCAAGCTATGCCAAATGACTCAAAGCCTCCCTTCCACAAAAGGGTTCCCCTCTGAGCTCCCTTCTCCACTCCCCAAAAAGCAAAGCACTCACTGGCTTTGTTCAGAAGATTCCAGTATGTCTAAAACTGACAGATATGAGCCAGAACAAGATGCTGACAGGACAGGTGGGGGCTGTGCACAAGTCAAGGTGGCCAACCGGGACACCACCCACAAGTGTCTGTCCCACCCCTGGTGAACCTCTATGAAGCCCTGCTGAGAGCTTAGGAGTTTTCTTTTTTAATGAAAGCCTACTACTTGTTTAGGCTTTCATAAAAAAGAAAACTCCTAAATTCTATAATAATCCCAGCACTCAGCAGGCTAAGGCAAAAGGATGGCTATCAGTTCAAGATCTGCCTGGGCTTCACTTGAGAGCTTCTCTCAAAATAAATAAATAAATAAATAAATAAATAAATAAATAAACCAACTAAGCAAGCGACCTAAAAGCAATGACCTCAGTTCAAAATGCTCAGTCTCCCATGCCTCTGCTACCCTACAGGACCAGCTGCTGTTTTCTTCTGACTACACAGACGAGGTGTGGCTTTAGGCCCTGGGTCCTTGGGCACAGAGCTGCTCCAAGCGGGGCATTACAGCAGCCACTCAGTTACTCTGGAGCGAGCTGAGACAAGTCATGCCCTGAACTGGACATCAAGTTCAGCTTAGTACCACGTGGAATTGTATTTACATTATGAAGATGCCTTGAAGTGACAGGAAGGGCCTGGAATTGGAGCTGCTCTCTCAAACATGCAGTTGGGACAGAGCCAGGCAGAGCCAAACTGGGCTCTGGTGAGGACAAAGAGCGGTCCCTGTATCTATCTCTACCTGAACAAGCATTCTAGGCACTGGACCTTGACTCCACCCACAGAGCCCAAACACACCCTGCTGAGCCAGGTGGGTCCCAGGCGGCCGGGGGAACGCACTGGGCCCAGGATCAGGGTCCATCTGGCACGAGTTAGGGCCAACCCAACAGGCAGCCGAGGCGGGGACATCCATGCTGTCAGGAGCCAGAAACCTGGGCCTTTCCAGGACTCATGTCCAGGGTCCAGGGTGAGCGCCCAGGCCCGGAGCTGGGTCCCAGGAGGACGAGCGCCCAGCACTGCTGAGGACGCGCAGCGGGAGCCGGAACGACGCCCAGCTGCTCACACAGGTGCGGGTTCCCAACGCAAAGCCCGCTGGACACTGGAGCTGCACAGGCACCCAGAGCTAGGGCAGAGTCGCGGGAACGCGGGGGGCGGGGCTCCGG